GTGTGTGTGTGTGTGTGTGTGTGTGTGTGTGTGTGTGTGTGTGTGTGATATGCATGTGTGGAAGCCAAAGGAAAACATTGGCTATCTGGCTCTGTCTGTCTTATCACCCTTGAAACAGGGTCCCTCACCACTTTATTTTTCCTGCAGGGCTGATGAGCAAGCCATGGTGATTCTGCTGTTTCCAAGACACCCCCTCCCCACATCACATCCCCACCAGCTCTGGGGTTACAAGTGCACACAGCCATGTTTAGCTTTCTTTTTTTTTTTTAGTGGGTGCTGGGAATCTGAACTCAGTTCCCTAATGCTTGCACAACAAGTGGTCTTAACCACTGAGCCATCACCCCAGCCCACCAACACTATTCATTCGACGGCATCTTTTCAACTGAGTCTGTAAAAGTCCACTCTGTTCATTTAGGTGACTGCTTGGAATTCCATTTTGTGTTCATTTTATCCAGCCAGTCTCCAGATGATGATTTTAGCTGTGTCTCCCTTAACCTAATGCTGTAATTAGCATGGCTGCCCATATGTAGAACTCGTGTTTGGCTGTGAAATTGCTGGCGTAAACTGTACAGCACAGAACCCAGTGACCTTCCCAAAGGGCCATGTAGTTAATGTGACCCCGAATCCCCCCACATACCATAGCATTTGCATGATAAGCTCTCCCTGGGTGACTCCCCAGAGGTCCCAGTGGGAAGCAAGTCTGAGCAGTCCATCCAGTGGTCCTCACAGCTGATGTTCACTCTGCCCCTGTGCCTGGGGCCATCATACCTAGTAGGCTGACTGTAGGGTGCAGCAGTTCCTTGAGGCCTCAGTTTCCTAGAGTCCAGGACATCCTTTTCGTTTCTCTTTGGGAAACCAGATGCCTTTGGGAAGCAGCTGCAAAAGAAACAAGGCCAAATACGTCAACAAAGATGCTGCCCCTGCCAGACAGCAGCGAGCCAGGCTTCAGGCAGCCAGGATGAAAGGGACTGAGGTCTAGCCAGCCTTCCCTGGCACTGAGTCCTGGCCAGAGCACTTAAATAGAAGTGGTTCCCGTTGCTCGGAGCAACCAGAAGGAGGAGTACAGGTGGCTGGAAGCTCAGCTGGTGGGAAATGTCAATCACTCCTGTTGGAACCCTAAGCCCTCAAAGCAGGACTTGACCCACAGCCACCGCTGAGCACCTGCTGTATATCAGGCCTTGCGCTAGACACAGGGAAAGGTACACAGGTACCCTACTATAACCAACCTCCCGACCCGTATCCTGCATGCGTTTAATGAGGAGACTTGTTGAATGGTGACTTTTAGTTTCTGTCTCAAAGCTGGAGCTGATGGGGAGGGCTTGGGGGGAGAGAGAAGGATGCAAGATAAAAGGCAAAAAGCATCCTTTCTTGGAACAGTGATCCTCGTCCAGGCTACTTCCTGTTTCCAAAACCAAAGAGGGTCAGAGGGCTCAAGAGTTGTATGAGAAAGAATCTGTGTCCTCTCTCGGTATGAGATTTCCCAGAGGTGCCTGGTACTTCCTCTCCCAGTGCATGAAAGACTAGGGAGTCTGGCCTGGCTGCTGAGCCCGTTCTTGAGCCCCAGGTCAGCATCTCCTGTCTGCTCCTATCCAGAAGGAAGGGACATTCAGGTGGCTCCTTCCAGGACAAAAGTGCCCTCCAGCCGATGAATATCACCTGTATGGAACCACGCCTGGAGGCGGACCAGTTCACTCACCTGGCAGCCCTGAGCTGGGGACAGGCCCCTCCCTTCTTCCAGACTTTGAACAGCTGGAGAACCATCCTGGGAGGACCAGTCTCCACAGGAGGCATGCTTTGCCCTCACTTTTGGAGCCTGTGTGAGGGAAGGGAGGGAGCAGAAAGGAACAGTCTACTGAACAGAATAAAATGCCCTAGGGAGAAGGCAGGGTCAAGTGGCTTGAGGAGCCGTTAGGGCAGGACTTGAGACTGCCCTAGTTTGCTTTCATTGGTGTCATAAACACTCTGACCTAAGAACAACGTGGGGAGGAAAGGGTTCATGTCATCCCACCACAGTGCATCATTGAGGGAAATCAGGGCAGGAACCTGAGGCCAGGTGAAGCAGAGGCCAGGGAGGAGTGCTACTTCCTGGCTTGCTTTTCCTGGCTTGCTCACCCCAGGACCACCTGTCCAGGGACAGCCCTATCCACAATGGGCTGCCCCACCATCCCCCATCAATCAAGAAAATTCTCCACAGACTAATTTGGAGACATTTTCTCAATGGAGGTTTCCTCTTCCCAGATAACCACTGCTTATGTCAAGGTGGGGGCTGGGGGGAGGGGTATGGTACTGACTAGGACAATGCTGGGAAGGGTTCTCTCAGAACTCATGCTCAGAGGCCTCCACAGGGGAGACTTTGGTGGAGAGCCAGAAGGAGGAAGGGAGCATTCGGACATCGTTGCTGAGCCCCTTGAAGGAGGCTGTGGGCCTTGAACTGCACCCCCCCCCCGGGAAACAGTACGACAGCACGGAGCCTGAGAACCATCATCCTACTGGACTGAAGGATGCACCAACGTCAGCACAGGAAGAACAAACGATTCTTTTCCTGGCCTCCACTCTGTCTGGTTGGGTTTCTCACTGAGGCTACAGTGTCTAACGCCAAACTGTTCATCATCATTCGTCTGCTGCACAAAGTTCGGCTCCTCGGGGAAGGCTTAGCTTGGGTCCTTGATGGAGGTGCCTGGAATAGTATCTGGCATAGGGAAGAGGGCGTTGGGGGAGCAATGAATATGAATGAGAATATGGGTAGCTCGTGACGGATTGATCACTTAGACAGATGCATTTATACCCAGAAACAGGGCTGGGCGGGTAGCTCAGTTGGTAGAGTGCTTGTGGGGTTCACAAAGCTTTGTGCCTCCACTGTCATACCACACAAAGCAGGCACGGTGGAGGTGGAGACAGGAGGGTCAGGAGAGTTCAAGGGCCAGGCTACACAGAAAGCCTGAGGGCAACCTGGTCTATCTGAGATCCTGCATCAGAAAAAAAAAAAACAAAAAAAAAAAAAAAAAACTTAAAAAGGAAAAACATTAAGGAGAAGAAGAAGAAAGAAAATAAAAGAAGTAGCAGCAATGAAGATGCCTAGCTATATAAAATTTTAATAATTTCACCGCATGGTATATGTTGTCTTTCCTATCTATATCTGTAACCTAAACTAAACCAAACGCTGCTATTTTAAAAATAGTTATAAAAGAGACAGATCGTAACTTTCCTCCCATTCTTGCCAATTTGGCTGAGGCCTCCCCCTAGCAACTGTCTGACAACTGAAAACCCCAGCCCTGGTCCCCTCTTAATTATCTGCTAAACATTTGTCGCTGCCCATCGTGTCTCTCCCTATTTACCTTCCCCCCCTACTGTCTGTCTCCTTGTACTGGGATACAAAAGCCAGGACAGCAAGGATTTGCCAGTGTCACTGATGGAACCCCAGGGCCTAGTGCAAGCTTGGCACCTCCAAGGTGCACTCCGTGTGACTGAATGATTGAATTTGTTAGAGAACTGAGAGGGGAACTCATATAACCCAGGCCAACCTCGGACTCACTACGTAGCCAAGAAGGACCTCAAACTTCTGATCCTTGCATTTTCACCTGGCAAGTACTGGAATCACAAATGTGTGTCACCTCAGTGTATACAGTGCTGGGAAGGCAGCCTCGGGTTATCTGTGTGCTAGGCAAGCACTCTGTGTTACAGAGGTGCATCTCTCGTTTTTCTAGAGGAAAAAAAAATCCTAAATTCTTCCGAATTCATCTCTTAAAGACCATCCTTGCCTGTGCCCTGAATATACCTCACCCTAGTCTCTAACAGTCCCTGCCTGTGGCCAGCAGCTCTCTTATTGGATGAGGCAGGTATGGAATGTTCTCTTTTGCAGAAAGTTCTGTTGGATCTGCCACTCTAGAGATCCTGGGGTCTCAGACCAACCAGGTGCCAGGCTGTCCAGTAGCCCCAAACAGATAGAAAGGCCATCCTCATTACCAGTGTAAAAGGAACCTCCTAAGGTCTCATCTAAAATGTCCATCTGGAGCTGGGACACAGCCGAGCAACAAAGCAAGAGCTTATTGTGAGGGAGAACTGGGTTCCATCCTCAGCACCACAGGAGGGAGAAAAGGGAAAGAAAAAAAGTAAAAATGCCTTCCAAAAAGTAGAACTGGAGGGGCTGGAGAGATGGCTCAACACTTAAGTTTACCTGTTGCTCTTGCACGGGACTCGAATTCCATTTCTAGCACCTATATCAGGCAGCTCACCACCACCTATAATGCTACCTCCATGAGTTCTGATGCCCTCTTCTGGCCTCCACAGGCACTTGCACTCAGGTACACACACACACACACACACACACACACACACACAATTTTAAAAGTAATAAGCCTTTTTAAAAAGTTACTATTCAGAACAAGATCAGATGGTTAACAAATGGAAACCTAAAACTGGGCATGGTGGCACACACCTTCAACTCTAGCATTCAGGAAGCAGCGGCAGGCTTTGAGAAGCAGAGTTTGAGACCAACAGCCTGGTCTACAGAGTGGGTTCGAGGACAGTCAGGGCTACATAGAGAGACCCTGTCTCAAAAAAAAAAAAAAAAAGAAAAGAAAAGAAAAGAAAAAGAAAAAAGGAAGGACCATTAGAAGAAATAAAGGCTTCAGGGATGTTTTATTTATAGTGCCACTAAGTAGGAAGGAGAGTTGAAAACCCTCCTACATGGGACTTGATACTTGCGATAAAAATTTAAATCCCTTCTTTGCTGAAGCTTCTGTGATGTTTTCCAGAAGTGCCGTGGAACAGGGTTTCTGCCAAACAGGAATTGTGTGTGTCACTGGGATTCTAAGGGAAATACCTGGGTCCTTACGGAGCTGCTGTCTGTTACCTTGTCCCCAGGGGCAGTCCTTCAGTGACCTGGGAGCCAAGTGCAAAGGGTCTCGACACGAGGAGGTCATCCAGCAGCAGAAAAAGGCCTTGTCGGAACTCCGGCTACGAATCAAAGAACTGGAGAAGGCCAACTCCTCTAGTAAGTTCTGTGCTCCCTAGTCCCAGCCGGGGCAGAGCCTAGCATGCACCTGGGAAACTGGTTGACTGGCCACGATGTCCCCATTATCTCGTAATCAGAAGTACATTATACAGTGATGGGCTAGGTCCTTCCTCGGAGTCAAGTAAATAAATAGGACATGAAAAACTCACTACTGTTCTCCTGCTTATTTCGCTGTGACCCGGTGGGGACTCTGTCATGGTCTAATGCTAACTACACAGGACCGAGTGCTGGGGGGGGTCCTCTTAGAGTACCCCGTTCAGAAGGGCTGGGGTTGGCTCAGAAAGGGCAGCTGGTGGCTGAGCAAGGCACTGGGCACTGGGGCCCCTAGGAGAAGCCCCATTGTCATCTCTCCGCCTGGAAGGCGTTTGGTGAGGTTCACTGCAGTGACACCTGTGTGGCCAAAGCCTCACACTCACTGTGTGGCCTTGGGCAAATCACTTAATCTCTCTAGGCCTTGCTTTCCTCATCTGCCAGGGAGGCTTCGAGGGCTAAAACGGTCCTGTGGCTAAGCTAGTGTCCTGTAAGTCGTAGCTACAGTGATGACGATCACTCTTCCTGAGTCTAAACTATTTCTTTTGTAGATCATAAGGACCACATGAATGAGTCGTTCCTAGAACTAAAGACCCTCAGAATGGAAAAAAATATACAGAAAATATTATTAGACGCAAAGCCTGACTTGACGTCTCTCTCAAGGATAGAGATCCGATCGGTAACCAAAACTCCATTTCTCTCTGCAGTGACTGACGTGAGAGGGTGGGCATTAGGGCTGGTGTGAGCTGAGCCACAGATCAGTGCGTTGGAGGTTTAGGGCCAGGGCCTCCCTGCTGAGCAGGTGTCTGTCTACACGCATTGGCCAGCACAGTGGCCTTCCATCTGCACAGTATGCTATGCCGTTGCTTTGACTCTAGGCCAGATTGGTCGCTGAAGCAGAAGGCTCCTCCTCCGCAGAAAATGTCCAACGGGCTGATTTGTGTGGTTAGGCCACAAGCTTGCCAAAGTCTGCTGTTCCCTGTAAACTGAAAGACGTGGTGAGAATCGGTGGTGAGAGGGCTAGGGAAAGTCCTGTGAGGGAGCCTAGCCCGAATGGTGTGCATCTGCCAGCAAGGCTTCGGCAAAAACCTGAAAGGAGAGCCAGCAGAGGCAACGCACACCTATAATGCCAGGACTCAGGAGCATAGGCAGGAAGACACCAGGGCGACTTATGGCCCTCAACAACAACAACAAAAATCAAGATAACGCTACGAATGCTTCCCCCACCCCCAGTGCCTGACTACTCACAGTTCATACTGAATAGTAGGTGGCTGTTATTCTTAAATAACATTACCCCAGGAAAGAGTGGGGCCTCAGAAGCCAAGATTCTCACAAGTAGTTAATTGTGACGTTGAAGGCGATCTCATAACCTAAAGGGTGTTAGACTGGGTGTTTGGTGGACAAACAGCAACCCAGGTCAGCGCCAATCCCAGGGCCCGCTGACTACATACTGGCTTAACCCAACTGGGAATAAAGCACAGGGAAGCTTCTAGGATGAACAACAAAGTTGTCCTCTTTGAACCAATATCCTGTCTAATGATCTTTCTGGGCACTTCCTAGTGCTAGAGAAATGAGCTGGTCTTTGAACTGAGTTGGTTTTCATACTAAAACTGCACACCCATTCTCCAGACAGGAGGTCAGCTAGATCTCACGGCCTGACTGACTCTGCTCCTCAGACCGGTCTACCCCACCACCACCACCACCTATCCCATCCCAGCACTGCCAGCACGAAGCAGGGAACTGCCCAACTCTGTTTTTTAAAAGCCTCTGTCCTCCAAGGTTGGAAGCAATTAGAATTATAAGAGGAAGTGGAAGGAAGAGAAGCCCCCATAGATTGAGTGCTTGCTGAGTGCTGCTCGGTGAGCTGAGCCCTTCACCTGCTTGGTAGAGCCTTGCAGCAGCTGGGCTGTAGCATTTCCAGTGTCCCTAGTTTACAGATAAAGAATTAGGGCTTCGGAAGCCAAGCACCTCATCCAAGGCCACAGAGGTAAAGAAGGATGGAGCCTGTTCTCTATCCCTGGCTGTCTTCCCCAGGCACCCTGCCAGTCTGCAGAGAAGGATGAAAAGTGGGGTCCTGGAGAGGGGTGCAGAGGACTCTCTCAGCTTACTGTCATCTTCAAAGACCCTCTCGTCAGGAATAGGGAGGCAGCTCAGTGTATAAGAGCACTTGCTCTTCAAACACGAGGATCTGAGTTCAGGCCCACAGTAGCCATGGAAAAAGCAGGGTGTGGCCACCGCCCCACTGAAAACCCCAGCACTGTGGGAGATGGAGACAGGTAATCACTGGGCTTGCTGGCTGCCAGCCTAGCTCCAGGTTCAGTGAGAGATCCTGTCTCAGGGAATAAGGCAAAGAGAGACAAAACAGGACACCTGACCTCCTCTGGCTACCACATGGGTTACACACACCTGTCCATATGCACATCACCCTCGTGCACACACGTGAGTGCGCACACACACGCACACGCACACGCACCTTATCTCAAGATAAAACGGAATGGCATCCACTCTTAGCAGCCGGTCACTGTCAAGCCTTTCTGGCTTTACGGCCGGGGTTTTCTTGGTGCTGTTTCGGTGTCCAGGGAGGGTCACGAGGTGGCACCTGTGAGTGCTGAGGGCCACCCAAGATGCCATGATGCACCTACTGAGGATTGAAGTCCACTTGGGTCCTGGTGAGGTGTCCTGCAGTCATCCGTGGCTCTCCACGTCCTCTGCCTGGCCTGACTGCTGTCCCGTGCTTCCAGTCAGAGCTCCCAGAGGCTCACTGGCTGACGCAGGGCGCAGCAAGCACACAGCTGGAAGGCCCAGCCTCAGCGTCTCAGGAAATGGTCCAGAGAACATTTGGCCACGTCTTCCGAAGGACTCGCTCCTGCTGTGTGAAAACGAAGTTCCTCTAACGAAAGGAGAACACACTTTTCCCGTGTGGCCTTCATTCATTTGCTCCTCAGGCGCATGTCCTCCCCCCTGTGACCAGTGCCCTGCTAGGAACAGGTGTGGGGTCTGCAGGCGGCAGTCTCTGTCTCTATGGAGCTTGTCGCTTAGCCTTCTCAACATCAACACATTGATATTTGGAGTCTGGGATACCTTAGCTGGTAAAGTAATTGCCACACAAATATGATGATTTGAGCCTGATCCCCAGGCCCCACGAGGCTGAAGATGTATACCTTTAATCCCAGCACTTTTGAGGCAGGAGGATCCTTGTGATTTCTAGGCCAGCCTGACCTGCAGAGTGAGTCCAGACACAGCCAGAGGTACTCAGTGAATCCCTGTCTTCTTAAAAAAAGAAAACAAAACAAAACCTGAGCACTGTAATGTGTACTTGCTGGGCCAGTAAAGACAGAAGGATTTCTAGGGAACAGCAAGCTTCAAGACCTCATGCGTGATACTGTCCCAGAGAATAAGATGGAAGACTGACAGCTCCTGAGGAGTGGTACCTAAGGTTGGCCCCTGGCCTCCCTCTCCACACACACAAACCATCTGGGGTCAGACTCCCTGCCAGTGTGATTGGGGACTGCCTTGTTCAGTGGCATCCTCACTGTCTTCCCATCCGATGCCAGTACATTCCCCCTCTTCAGATGAGTCTATACGTCCCTAAATAAGCTGGGGGGGGAGGGGAGTACACCCTTAGCCCAGCTGAGAGACCCTGATGGAGAGTGAAGATGTCAGAGGAGAGGCTGGCGAAGGTATGATGATGCCGATGACCAAGAATTCAGACTAGATGGTTGGGAATAGAGAGGAGATGCGTGTGGAATGCCTTGTCCATAGCCACACAGGGTGCCAGCTTCCCCGCAGATGACACTGGCAACAGAAGGCCTAGTGTTGTTCTTTTCTTTCTTATTTCAGCCTCAGAATGGCCTTTTCAACTCGGGCTCCAACACGGCCATCGAGAAGTCAGTAAAACCAGATACTTCAGAAGCCCTAGAACTCAGTGAGAAGCTGGTGTGTGGATGAATCGTCCCTTCCCTCCCCCTCCTTTCCACCCCAGCACTGGCTGCAAACCGCAGTATCATTTGCTAAGTATTGGCCTCTGAACCATATTGAGCTGTTTAGATAACTCGAATAACTCGGCAAGACCCAGCTGCTCCCCAGCATGGGTCAGGGATCAGCACCCAGCCCAGTTCCTTGAAAGCTCCATCGTTAGAATGAGTGTTAATTTCTGTTGTCATTTCCCACCCATTCCTGAAAAGGCCTATTGTACACGGTTGTGGGGGGAATGGAGGCCTAGCTGCAGTCACTCCCAACATGCTTATTTGCTTCCCGCAGCTGGGAAGAATGAGCTAGAATCGGGCACCGGCCTCCTGATGGGCCCCTTGCCGCCTCCAGTGCTGCTCTCACCAGCAACCCGTCTCCTTGCAGTACGCAGACATGGTCAGGATGCTCAGCAGCCTGATGAACATCAAGGACATGTCGGGCCACGTGTCTTTGAAGTACCTCTCACCCAAAGAGTGTGAGAAGGTCAACCACCTCCGACAGAAGGACCTGGAACTGGTGTTCGATAAGATCACTCAGCTCAAGATCCGGCTTCAGAAGAAGGAGGAGCTGCTGAAAGGATACGAATGGGAACTGGAGCAGCACAGGTACCGCACGTGCTCCCTGACTAAGCGTGGACGGCAGCATGATGCTGGGTGGGGACAGGACAGAGCTGGGGCACATCAGTTAGGGGCACAGCCTCCTGGGGGGCGGCGGTCCCTCACCTGGGGGACCATGCTTCTCTAAGCCTGTCTGCTCTGTGCGCCAGCTACACCTGTTAAGACCTTGACCTGTGAGGTGGGACATAGCTCAGACATAGAGGACTCCATAGAGGGCTCGCCCAGCATGCACGGAGCCCTGGGTTCCATCCCCTCGAGGTGCATAAAACTTGGCATGACTCACATCTATAATCCCAGCACTCAGGAGGTAGAGGCAGGAAGATCGGAAGTTCAAGGTTATCCTGAGCTACACAGCAAGTTTGAAGCCAGCCCGGGCAACATACAGCCCTGTCTCAGAATAACAAAAGTCTGGAGATGGTTTGATAGGTAAAAGAGCGTGTCTCAAGAGTGAGGAGCTGAGTCTGAATCCCCAGAATCCACATTAAAGCAGTGGGAGGTATCCATAATCCCTGTGTCCCTACCGGAAGACAGACAGGAGGCAGAAATAGGAAGATTCGCTGTTCTGGCTTACAAAGCAGAAAAACAGCGAAGAGATCCTGTCTTCCACAAGGTTAAAGGCAAGGATCCATTCCTGAGATTGTCCTCTGGCCTCTGCCCGTGTGTGCCCACATTCACACAACCAATGGGTACTCATACACACAGATCTTAAGTTGGCACTGGTGTGACTCTGAGCATCCATCACATCCCCAAGACTTGCAGGGCCCCGCCCTCACCCTGGGGTATCAAGTAACGTGTTCTGCCCTCAACTCCCCGTCTTTGTCACGGTCTCATAAGTCAACCCCGCATAGAAGGATCTCGAGAGCTTGGGACCTTGCTGGTGAATGGGGACAGCGAGGGGGAAAAGGCACTCTGTCTCTCCTTGGCCCCCAGGCATAACAAGGCAACCCTTCAGCTGTACCAGGCGCAGGTGGCGAAGCTGGAGGATGATGTCTACAAAGAGGCTGAGGAAAAGGCGCTGCTGAAGGAGGCCCTGGAGCGCACAGAGCAGCAGCTGTACCAGGAAAAGAGACTCAACAGGGCCTTCAAGCAGCAGAAGGTGAGCCGCTTGGCCCCTTGCATAGGACTACTGGGTGTGGGTACACGCGCTTAACCCCAGCGCCTGGGAGGCAGAGACAGGAGGATCTCGATGAGTTCAAGACCAGCATGGTTTCCATAGTGAATTCCAGGCCAGCCAGAGGTACATAGAGAGACCCTGTCTCAGAGGAAGGAAGGAAGAAGAGAGGGAGGGAAGAAGGGAGGGAGGGAGGGAAGAAAGAGAAAGAAAGAGAAAGAAAGAAAGAAAGAAAGAAAGAAAGAAAGAAAGAAAGAAAGAGAGAGAGAGAGAGAGAGAGAGAGACAGAAAGAAAGAAAGAAAGAAAGAAAGAAAGAAAGAAAGAAAGAAAGAAAGAAAGAAAGAAAGAAAGAACGAGAAAGAAAGAGAGAAAGAAAGAAAGAAATGACAATCTCAGGAGAACCCTCCCCCTCAAATGCAGAATAGTTTTTTTATGGCCAACATACCTAGTTGGGCTCAGCACGCTACCACCGGCTTTGATATCTTAAGCGCTGACCTCAGTGTTCACTGGCATTGGTCTTAGTTACATCTGTCTGTGTTGTTGCCTGTGCCTGTGTGGCTGTGCTTGTGCTACAACATGCGCGTGGGTGTCAGAAGACAATCCTCAGGAGTCAGTTCTTGCCTTCTGCGGGTCTTGAGAACCAAACCTGTGTTGTTGGGCTTGGCAGTAGGCTCCTTCAACCCACTGAGCGGTCTCGGCAGCCCTCTCCACTCTCCCTAAGACAATACAGACCTCGGGCTCCAATAGGACTGACAAGGAAATTAACCTCTGCCACCATCTCCTCCTGACCCTCAACAGGCCCGGCCTGCGCCATGCCGACACAGCCATTTACTGATGCCAGCAAGAGACCTTCCTGGCGCCACCATGAGCCTGATTTAAAACAAAACAAAACAAAACAAAACAAAACAAAACAACAACAACAACAACAAAAAAAAAAAACAAATGAGGAAACTGGAGCCTTGGTGGGTTGAGAGACCTGGGCAGGGGGTTTAGCTCAGTCAGTCGAATGCCTGCTTGCCTGGCACAAAGCCCCGAGTCAGATCCACAGCACTGCTTTCACCTGACCGTAAGCCCAGCCCTCAGGAGGTGGAGACAGGTGGTTAAGAGTTCATAGCCAGGTTTGGGGCCCACCTGAGTCATATGAGATGAAACCCTGTCTAAAAGAAGAAGGAGAAAAAAAAAGTGAAAACAGTGTTGAGAGGTTGGCCCAGGTTGGTCACACAGTCTCGGGTGAATAGTTGTACCATGGCCCCAGCTCTCTCCCCTAATTTCCTGTGCTACGTGCTGGGCTGGCCCCAAGACTCCCCCTGTAATTGTTATTATTATTATTTTTTTTTACTTTGGAGCTGCATGCTTATGTGTCCTTGCATGCATGTATGTGTATGCATACGTGTGTACGTGAGTGTTTGCACGTATAAGACTCTTTGTGCCTAAGCGTTCAAATATGCATGACGATGGGCACGCTTCCACATGTGTGTGTATGCGTGACTGCGACAGTGTGCCTGGGTTTGCATAAGCGTATACGTGACTCTCGCGTGTACCTCAACATGGATGTGACTCCATGTGTGTGCATGAGAGAGAGAGCGAGCTCTGAGGAGGCCATTAAAAAAGGATGCCCCACCCCATCCAGGAAGCCAACCCCAGCCGTGAAAGCAGCCCCAAACATGGCTGCTCACACCCATCCCTCTGAATTAAACATCACAAGCCTCCACATGCATGTGCCATGGGCTGCCTCAGGCAGAAGACAGGGTCCTTTGCACTGAGCAGGGCAGCTGTAGCAGGGACAGGAGGAGGTTGGACATGCCAGGGCGCCCGCTTCTTCCCAAGGTGCCCCCTGGGATTTGGCAGCCCAGGTCCTCAAGAACAGACACGAAACCAGGGAACAGGACCTCAGAGGGCCCCCAGCAGCCCATTGTGGCATGCTGGCTGAAATGTAAGACTCTGAGGATTTGCATAATCGGTGTCACATGCATAATTCACGAGCTGCCTCGTTCATACACAATGTGGCCGTCCAGCCCGTTGGCACCAGACATCCTGCGTGGGTGACCCCAAATGGCCTCCTCGTTCAACCTGCAGCAGGGGGTCCCAGCAGAGCTAGGGCCGGGGCCTTGCAAATTCACAGGCTTTCCCGTTTGGAGCCATAGACGGAGCTGCAGCACGGCCACGCTGTGCCGATAAATGTCACGCTCCCCTCGGGCTCATGTGTGCCTGCCGGCGGGGTGTGCTGACGTCATGCTGCACCTGCCTCCTCCTCTCCCACAGCTTGCAAGGGGCTCCCCCAGAGCCGGCAGGCAGGGTCACAGTGCCTGGCGGCCCAGGAACGGGAGCAGGGCTCCCACCAAGCCCTCTGTCCCGCAGCCCCTGGAACTTCTACACCCCTGTCTGCTCTCAACCCCACCTCCAATCGCCAGGATAGTGGGGGTGTCCTCCCAGGGTTCTGGTTTTCATATAAGGCCTGTGACCTTACATAGTGTCAGAAGCTCCTGTCTCCTAGAGGAAAAGAAATTCTAAGTCATCTGTTCATCCTAGGAGTGTATTTTCATTTAAAAGAAGGGGGGGGGGAGTTGGATGAATGGACTGTGGTGGCCCACGCCTTTCACCCCAGTACTCAGGAGGCAGAGACAGGTGAAACTCTGTTTTCAAGGGAAGGGGTCTCAAAGGGAAATGTTTATTTTTTTCTCAGGGTGGCTTAGCATTTTTCGAAGCTTCCTGTACACTATCGTAAAGTTGGACTGGTTGAAGACCTGGAAGGGACGTTTCCCATCTGGGGCTTCAGAACCATGCTCCTCCACAACAGACAGACAAGACAGATAGACACACACCCTGACACACACACACAAGCGTAAACCAATAGAGTTTTTTATATTTGAGCAACTCTTCCCAATACAGAACTTTCCAGATTCAGAAGCCATGCCTCCAAACTAACCCTCTTTTTTTTGTCCTTTCCTTTTCATTGGTGTGCAGGCCTTGCACGTGGCACTGGGTTAGGTGTGGACACACTCATGTACATATTAACATCATGCACACACACTTCTCTCCTGTATACCCTTTTCTCAACCCCTTTGGTCCCCTAGACAGTTTTGGTTTCTACTCTCATGTCTTATATGCATACATGATTTTATAACCGTGTCTGTAGAAAACCTGCAAACGTGAGGGAGAGCATTTGCTATCTGTCTTTCTGAGAGGGCCTTAACCCTCTGCACATTAACACCTTCAGCTGTGTGGTGAGGCTGCTTGTAAAACACCTGGAAAAACCCCAGGGCTGTATGCGCACAGAGCCCGGGACCCCAGAGTTCTCTCCATGGGGCTGCGGTGCTCAGACCTGTCCAGGCTCCGCATTCTCCGAAAAGGCACCTTTCTCAGAATTAAGGGGTCGACCTTGGAGTCAAACAATAGGGTCTGTGCCCGCTTCGGAGCTTTAGCGACTAGTCCGTGTCCACCCTATGTCTCTGGCTGCCCAGTAATGGCTGTGGCAAACAGGACCCACGTTGTAGGGTAGTGGGGGAGGGGTACGTTCAGAATGCCAGAGGCACCCTGGAAAACTCAGTACCATAGGGAGAGAAGGGCAACAAAGGGGCAGGGCTGGTCCTGAGTCTCTTTCAGACCACTGCCCACCCCATCCCCCAAGCCGAGAGCCCAGCAACAACCCCCCCCAGGCTGTTTCCTGCTCCCCCCACCCCTCCCCCGCCCCAAAGCTGGCAGCCCTTTTGTAAAGCATTCTTTTCTAGTTGGTGAATGCAGCTGGGGCTTTGGCCAAGAAAGAGCAGATACTTTCCGTGAATGGCTCAGAATTTTCAATAGAAAGCTTTGAAACACTCGGGAGCTGCCCTCGGAGGAGCCTGCCAGCCCTTTCCCGGGCTGCATCAGGGCTTGAAGTGAGAACAGCTGCTGTGGACAGGAGAGCAAGCTCCTCTCCCTTCCAGGCTCCAGCCTGTCAGATCCCAGCCCAGACACTTGGCCTATGCTAGCAGGAGTGGCCTGAGCTAGGCTAGAGCCCCCAACCCCTCATATGTCATTTAGATTCCTTGTCTTCAGGATAAGAATATAAATGGGGCCTGGCCCACAGGGTTCAATTCAGCAGGAGCGTGGGGCTAAAGCCTGAGCAAGTGGGACTCCCGTGATGCCTTTGGCCGTCATCACCATCCTTGTTCTGTTTAATTCAGTTTTCTAAGATTGGCTTGGGCACAGATATTGCCTAGATCCTCTTTGCCTCTGTCCCACCGTGGCCAAGGAGTAGAAACCAGCAAACACTGAGCAGGTGAGATTGGCTCATTGGAAAAAGTGCCTGCTGCCAAGCTTTATGACATAAGTTCGATTCCCAGGTCCCATAAAGTAGAAGGAGAGAATGGACCCCTTGAGTTGTCCTCTGTCCTCCAAATGAGCTCACGGCCCACACAGACACTAAATAAATAAACAAATGTAATAAAAAAAAAAAAAGAAAGAAAATTTTAAATAAGTCATTGGATCATTGGATCTATCAGATGAGAATGGATTGTGAGCCACAAAAATTGAAAGGCCGAAAAATACATATAGATAAGAAGCTCAGTGTATGAATGAAAAGTGCTAAAGACGAAGAATTCCACCCTCCACATGCCTCTTCTGATTTGGGCAGTGAACCATAGATTCTCCCAGAAACTCTAGATTAGAATGGATAAGGACAGACTAAACTCTCTCTCTCTCTTTCTCTCTCTCTCTCACCTGATTGTTTTCCCTCAGGATCGAATAGAGGATCAAGAGCAGAAAAGCATATCCTGCAACTGCCCCTTCAAAGACATTGAGAAGCAGGTATGAAGGGCGAGGTCAGGTAGCTACATGCAAGTAGCAGGTCCTTGGAAGGGTGAGGACCCTGTAGCAACGGACAGTAGCCCACACTGCCCAGGGACACTGGCACCCCTCTCCATCCTCCCTCCCAGCCTCTCCCTGCCCACTGCCTACTGGCGCTTTGGACAAAGGACCTAGGAGACAGGCAAGGGTCTATCTAGCTCAGGGTCCCGAAGAGAAGGAAATCACAGTCCTCTTTTGGCTGATGGAACAAAACATGGTGGACACTAAATGGCTTAGGGATTTGGAGACCAAGGCAGGAGAAAAACTGAAAGGGAGGAAGCGGGGAATCCCAAGCCTTCTGTCCTAAGGATGAAGAGCATGGGTAAGAGGGGACAAAGTGGAACCGGCCAAGGAGACGAAAGTTTCTGACTCTAGCGTTTCATGCCTACACATGGGCTTTCCCCTGGCTCCGGGCTTCCTGGCAGACCAAGCAGAGATCCAGCTTGGTCCCCAGCTTGGTCCTCCAAATACAGCGTGGTTCCCCATGTTCTCCAAAGATCATCCAGAGTATTCCCCCAGCCGGGCCTCCTGTGGCGAGATGAGCCACACGCCTAAGAGCAGCCTTGGTGAAAAAGCAGCGGAGTGTCCCCCGAGTCACTCCGGAGAGCGGCTTTGATGCCCGCCCCCCTGTGAGTCCGGCTCCAGCTCCGGCTCTGTGCTTCAGGGTGTAGCTCGCCATCACCTGGGCTTCATTCGAAAATGGATTAGAGACCAAGAGCTAGGATTCCTCAGAGCCCCATGGAAGGGCTGATGTGACACCCCAGCCCCACATGAACTGTGGTGGCTTTACCTCATGTATGTTATCTGCCAGCCTACTTGTGGAACTTGGATTGGGTAAAGGGGCCTGCTGCAGAGAGAGAGAAAAACAAGAAAAAAGGAAGGCATGCAAACAAGAGCTGTGTGTGTGTGTGTGTGTGTGTGTGTGTGTGTGTGTATGAGAGAGAGAGAGAGAGAGAGAGAGAGAGCATGAGCATGTGCAGCAGCCCTCAGAGGCCAGAAGGCATGGATATTGGCATATGCTGGAGATGGAGTTACAGGCAGTTGGTCGTAGGCCTCCGGTGTGGACGCTGGGAACCAAAGCTCCTAACCGCCGTCTCTCCAGCCCCGTGTGATAAATACCGAACAGCTGCAAGCTGGCAGCCTTCTAAGTACAAAATACCCAGAGGGCAACTGTCAGCTAAATTCAGGCTTCAAAGAGTTCAGGGACAGTCGTTTTGAGAGGGCAGAAGAGATGGGCAAGCATTTGCTCTCCCCGTCCCAGGAGAAGGCCCCTCTCACACCCTCCGTGGGTATCCTGGAGGAAAAAGGAAAACAGGACACCCAGTCGAATCTGAATTTCATGGGCGTTTTGTTGTTCTCTCTGAAGTGGGAAAGGAACCGGGGGCCCCTTGCCTGCCGGGGACGCACTCTGCTACCGAGTTACACCGCCTGCTTTTTGAATTTCAGATAAACAACAAATAGTAATTCAACCTAAGTATGTCCCAAATATTGGATAGAGATCTATTTTCATAGAGATGTGCTTTCATTTGAAGTTTGAATGGACTTGGGCACTGTTTTCTCTGGCAGCCCACCAATGAGTATTGACAGAACACCAGCTTGCTGCCAAGGTGGGAGGCTCAGAAGCAGCTGTCACAGAACGCTGCCCACAGATGGGTTTCAGCTGGCTCATGGGATGTGTTTGGGGTTGAGGTTTCAGTAGTGGTATATTTTCTTGTGGGTTGTTTGTTTTGTTTTGTCTTAGTTTTAGTTTTTAAGTGATATCTTAGGATGTTTTATTTCTAGTTTCTCTGAGAAACTTGGGAGATAAGAATACAAGGCCCCCAGGCCATGAGCTGCCGCCTCCCAACCAGGCCCCTTAGGAAGGTCCCAGGCTCCTGGTTCAAAGCTCACCCAATGTCTCCTCCTCTTAAGTCCAGAGTTCTGAAGGCATCTGGTTTTGTGACCCACAAGTGTTCAGAGCTCTTTGGAAACTCCCTCTCCCTGATAACCCATCAATTTCCCTGCTAACCTCTGAACAGGAGGCCCAGCTTGCCCCCTCACCATGGCACCCTCTGTACCTCTGAAGGGCCTTTCTTCTGGGAAGTAGTCCTAAGCTGTGGGGTCTGGAAGACAGCCAGGCTAACAGTTCTGAAGGAGAATAGCATGCCTCACTTGGCTGTCAGTGGCAATCCCTGAGGAGCAGGGCAGCCGCTGTGGCTTCCTTTTACCTGCACTGCGCAGTCACGTGCAACCCTCTGCCCCACTGTACTGCAAGGCCCGGCCACCAACGGAAGTCATTTTGCTTCCAGAGAGATCCCTCAGCCAACAGAATCTAAACAGAGATCCCCAGAGCGGCTGTGCGGGAGCCTTTGCCCCTCCAAAACAGCACCCCCTACTTCAAGCCTGTGTGTCACCCCTGCCCCTTCCAAAAGGGTCCGACATTCCAAATAAGCAAATCTTTCCTTGTTTTGTTTTGGTTTTGATTTTCAAGACAGGGTTTCTCTGTGTAGCCTTGGCTGTCCTGGACTTAATGTGTAGACCAGGCTGCCCTTAAACTCACAAAGATCCGCCTGCCTCTGCCTCCGGAGTACTGAGATTACAGGTGTGCGTCACCGTGCCCGGCTAGCAAATCTTAAAATAAGAGAAGAGGAAAAGGCAGTTTTCCTCTTTGATGCAAAAGGCAGTTACTAGTCTAAACTAAACGTTGTCATTGTTCTTTCTGTATTAAAGAGACGCATTTTTATAGAGATGGTCAAGAACAAGATGCAGAATTCCAGTCACCAGGTGAGCCAGAAAGAGAGGAACAGTGCCTTAGCAGCTGCCTCCCAGCTGCTGGGGACCAAGCACGTGGTGTGTGGGACACGGTACGGCAAGACTTCCCATTCATTTCTAGGGCAGGGGTTACCCTGGCCCAATGAGGAGGGGTCTGTGGAGCAGGACTGTGTGTCCCCAGCCACACAATTAATAAGGAGACCTCCATGGAACACAGGTAGGAGATAGTGGGTGTTTCTTCCTGCCTTTCAAGGTGTAATCTTACCACGGTTCAGATAAGCATCTCTCTCAAATTCGGAGGGAATGTCACCTAAAATGTTCTTTTTTTTTTTAAGAGCTGAGAATCAAGGCTATGACATTTTAAAACATACTGAAGCATCACAGTTGCCATTCAGCCCTTCCTGGAATTGCCCAATCCACACACTGCCTTTTGGAAAGCAGAGGCGAGCTTGTGGAAGCCTGGGGCTAGGCGCACTTCCTCTGTGCAAGAAAATGAAAAAGGAGGTAAATTTGTTAACATTTCGGTGGCACAGATGAAGGAGGCACAGAGCCCCCCAACACACACACACACACACACACAAACACACAGAGAGACAGACAGACAGACAGACAGACAGAGACCTCCACTCAGGCTAAACCAGGATTCATAGCATCAGAGACAAAAAGCATTTCAGGACCAGCCAGTTTATAAAGCAGAGTTGGAGCTGTTAGATTTTACTCATGATTTTTTTCATATAGGCTTAAGCACAGGGGTTGGGAGAAATAGAGGCACTCAGAATAAAGCCAGAAACACACCCAAGTGTGCGAATGGGCTCCTCAAGGGAGGGTCATGGCTCCACCTATGGTTCGTGATAGTCATGCATAGGATTTGGGGTGGGGTTTGAGCTGTCTTCTCACTGGACCACTGGGGGAGGGGGGGTAGTCCCTGAGAGGCAAATGGCAGGATTACAATTGAGAAGGTTAAAGGCTAGCCTACAAGGGTACAGGAAGGCAGGATATCTTACTGTTAAAAAAATTTAAATTTTGTTTGAGAGTCTGGCAATGTTTGCGGAAAGCACTAGGCCCCTCTCGGGGTCTAACACATTCTGCTGTTTTAACAGTAAATGTCCATACATGAAAGGAATATCGACTCTAGGCCAGCAGCCTTTATAGTAAATGCTAATTGAGCTGGAATTATTGTACCTCGGCTGGTGAGAGGCTTCAGACCCTTGGACAAGATCCCCTGTCCCTCTCATGTCCCCATAATTTATATTGTGCCTAACAACAAAATTATCATTGGAAAAAAATACATATTCTATATAAGGAACTTTTTTCTTTGAGACAGGGTCTCACCACATAATCTTGGCTAGCCTAGAACTCACTATGTATGCCAGGCTAGCCTTGAACTTACTTCTGTCTCCCTAGTATAGAGACCTGTGCTACCATGCTTGATCATAAGGGACATTTTTAAAACTCTCCTTCTTAATATCTTTATCCCCAAACTAGACAGAGGTGGATGTTGGAAGGATGGAGAGTGTCCTGGTGGCGGGTGGGGGGTGTCCCTTAGATCTGAGACCTTTGCCTGCTGTAAAGTAGGACTCTGAAGAGATTTGTTGCTCATCCATAAGGAGGGAGCTGTGGCTAGGTTCTATCTAAGAACCGCCTGAGGACCTAAGGGGTCAGAGATGTCTAGAAGGCCCGGATGTTCTGGGAGTGTCATGCTTCTTTGACGTGGAGATCCTGGAATGTCAGGCATCCTCTGGGCTGCAGAAAACACGGCAAAGCGAACTTCGGCTAGGAGTGCGGGGATCCATTTCCAACCATGAAGGTGTCCCTTCAAGTCTGGGGTCCAGGACTCCATGGTCCAGAAAGCCTTGCTCCAGGCTTCTTGCAAATTGGTGCTGGGTTCCCTCCCTTGCACAGCTGGAGTCCTGAGGAAGAGAGAGTTAGCATGACCTCTGGGAAAGAGACAGAGGCTCTGAAGTCTCTTCCAGGCTTGTACACTCATAGGTCCCTCTTAATAGCTTTGGAAGTACCTCCTCAGGGCCCTGTGGCCTAGGTCTTCTGCCCTCCCAAATGCCATAGGCTGGTTTTCTTTTCCTCACAGCCAACAGTCTTTGGTCATTGTTTGTGGGCTGTATGCCAAAGCAGACATTTTTCTAGTTTCCAATGTTCTAAAACATCTCCTAGAGACTTGCTGACTGCCTAGGCTGGGCTGCCATACTACTGAGCATGGGGTACGAAGGGTTCAGCTGGACATCTTTGGGATCACAGAACACACCCCAAGGAATGGAAGACAGTGTGCAGCCGTGCTGTCCAGGTGGAAGTTATACGATGGGCTGGCTTTCTCTGGCAAACGGCAAAGGCCCAGCCCATTCCCAAGGAGCTCCACCCTGTGACAGACAGGAGCTGAGAGCCTGGGATTTGGCAGGTGACAACAGGTACGGAGATTAATCACACATTCCTGAAGGGGCAATGCCACCTCTGAAAGGGCCAGCATGAACTCTTTATGTATAAATCACACACACACACACACACACACACACACACACACACACACATTCAGGCGTGCACGCATGTGCCTGCACAGGTTAGATATCCCTGCTCTAACAATCTAAAATGCAAACTTCTTTATCAGTGACGTGTATATATACATGTGTTCACATGCATAATACATACATGCGTACCTGAGCACCATGCATAGCACATCATGTACATGAGAGGGGTTAGGGAAAGACATCCACAGTGTTAGCTGGGGATAATAATGAATGAGGGATTGACAAGGGAGCTAGACCAGAACACTCATGAAAATCCTTGCCTTCCTGGCTTAGCCTTGGGACTATTTTTGTTGTAGTTGTTAAGCAAGCACAAGTGCTAATAATTACTTTGGTCAAAGTGCTTGGAGGACAAAGGTCAGCGGGCAGAGCTCCAGAGCCTCTTTCAAGGGGTCCCACCCAGTCTGCGGCAACAGAGGTCTGTGGGGAGACGGCTAAGGCACCGCCGGCTGCCTGGGAATGGGCTGGGTCTTGCCGTTCGCCAGAAAAGGCCAGCCCAGCGTATAATTTCCACCTGGGCTGCACTGTTGCAGACTGGCTTCTGTCCCGAGGGGTGTGTTCCGTGATCCCAAAGATGTCAAGCTGAACCCTGGGTGCTCACTGTTCAGAGTCCATCTCAGGCTGCGCTCTGCCAGGGACCCCCCCCCCCATTTGCCTTAGCATGTCCAAAGTTGGCAGCTACCTCCTCTTCCCGGGTCAATGGTCGCATCCGCTTTCCCTTGTCAAGTGTAATAGATAACAAAAAGTCCTTTCTTCCCCCACTCTTGGATAACATGGGGATGGCGTGGCCTGGACTTGGGGCTCTATTTTTAATGAGCAGCTTCCTGGCTCTGGTGCCACAACGGGTTGGGGCAGTGACATTTGGGAGCCAGGTGCCAGTGGCAGTTTTACTGAAAAATCCAGAGAAAGAAGCATGAAGGAAAGACAGACCTCTCAGCGGGGAGAGGGTCTTGGTTTCTGTCTGTTTTCTTCCTCCCTGGCTGTCAGATCAATAGTGGTTGAGTGGTCCACGGTTCTGAACCCAGTGCTTTCTTCCCCTGAGCAGATTCTGTGTGCAGGCTCTCAGAACACACTCAAGGGCCAGGTGTGGTAGGTGATAGGCTCTTACAGAGGACCTGGGTTCGATTCCCAACACCCACAACCATCTGTAATCGAGGGCCTCTTCTGACCTCAGCTGGCATGGGGTGTATGTACATGCATGCAAGCAAAATACGCATACACATAAGGTATGTGTATAAGGTCTGTATAAAATGCCTTCAAACAAAGAAGACATTTAAGGCTCCCATCTGCCACTGGTTTGGGCTTCCCAAGGCTGATTTCAAAGCTTCCCGAAAGCAAACAGGGCTTCTGAGGTGGCTTTTCTACTTCCACAGCCCGGGGAGGTGGCTCCCCACGGTACAGCACTCGGTACCGAGCCTCACGCCCCGAGTTTAGTCCCAGCACTCACAAGGTAGAAATAACAGACGCCTGCAAGATGTCCTCCAACTGTACGGATGTCATGTCATGTACATACATGCACACACCCCCAAATAAATAAGATGTAATTCAAACTATAAAACTCTCCAGGATGACTCCACGGGCCTATGAGGAAGACAGAACTCATAGCCTGGTCTCCCTGTGACAGATGCTAGAAAAGGGGGGAGGTGCAGAGAGACACAAAGCTGGGTGCCCTGTGAAAACTAAAGGACAGGACCAATGCACGCAGGCACGCACGCACGCACGCACGCACGAACGAACTCACTGTTCACCACTACATCTCTGCAGATTTCTTTCCAGTCATGTGTCAGAAAGCAAGTGAAATGACACCTCAGAGCCCATAAACCTCAGTCCTGGGAGAGACCTTCATCTAAAAAGCCTGGCCGTGACTTGGGAGCAGCATCAGGCCTGTGGCTACCATGGTATCCCCCTGCTGAGGGATCGAGAAGGACTCAGTGAGGGCCTCCTGAAGAGTCCCCTCTGGCCACCAGAGCCACAGGACACCTTCAGACCTGAGCAGCCCAGAGGGAGAAACCCCACCCCCAGGTGTAATGGAAGCTTTGATTTCTTTTAAAACTCTGTCATGTTGTGTAAATATGTTTTTGTGGGCTTTTAGTTTGCCCACAGCTGATAATTGCCTCCTGTGGGGCGTGGTCTTTGCCAGCTGGTACCAGCCTGCCCGGTGCAGCGTGGAGAGGGGTGTGGTCTAGGACTCTGAGGGATGCAAAGACGAGCCCGGAGAGAGAAAGGGTGGCAGTTCGGAGAGCCCCGAGGTGGACGCTGTGGCGGCTTGGAGGAGACAGATGGAGAGAACCCTCTCAGCACAGAGGCCTGGAGGAGACTGCTCTGCTGCGTTTGCTGTTGACAGATTGCTATAGCCCTAAAAGACCTTACAGCCGGGAGAAGTAAAGGTGTCTGCGCCCCCTCTCCCCACTAACTTTCTCCTCTTACCTAGGGTTAAAGGATTGGTGGAAGGGAGGTAGAGGCTTAAATACCCCGAATAAAATAGAGTTAAAAACGAGTACAACAGGAGGAGGAGACTCCATGCTAGGGAGCAGCTCCTAGCACGCGGTGTAAACTGCAGAGAGGTGGGGGGAGCAGTTTGCTCACTGGGAAGGATGCATCCAACGAGGAGGTTCGGCTCTGGGGAGCAATGACCCATCACTGTCCCTCTTTGTTCATACCTACATGTGTAAGTGTTTCACAAACAGAAACCGCACAGGGTCTGGAGTCCGTGGGCCATCGGTTGAGAGTGGGCACTCCCTGCTCTTGCAGAGGACTTGAGTTTGAGTCACAGCGCCCATGCCAGGCACCTCACAGCTGCCCGTGACTCCCACTCCGGGGGAATGCCTGACACCTCCGGACTCCTCAGGCACCTCCACATGCATGTGCTCGTATACATACAAACACACACGTGTATAATTAAAAGTAAAGTAAATCTTAAAACAGAACAAAACATAAAAATGCATAGGCCCTTTGGGGGCCCTGACTGCACTGACAGATTTTGTGTATTTGTTCTTTTTGTTCATTGAAGCCTACAACCAAGAAAGCCATCCTGAAGATGGTCCAAGAAAAAGAGACGAAGAAGGAGGCACCCAGGTCCAGCCAAAGTATTTCATTTGTTAAGCCTGGTGGAAAGAACTAGAAAACCCACTGTCCCAGGGCCTTCTGTGATCCTCAGGGAGCTGGCTTGACTCTCCAGTAACAAAATACTGAGGGACTTTTGTCGCACTTTAAAGGTGGATGCTTCACTTTCTAGATTACTATTTTTTCACAAAATGTATTTTGAAGTGTGTGGAGAGAGGATTTTTTTTTAAAAAAAATATCTATAAATGTATATACACACAAGTATGTAAAGAATATGTCTATAACCCAGACTCCTAGACTTGTAGATAAAGTTGTTTACATTTGCTTTATGATGTACCCAAGCATCGGCTCCTCCAAGGAGCTCCCAAAAGATCCAACTGGAGCCTCAGGGCAAATGGACGCTTGGAGCGCTTGGTGACAGTAGAGGGACATTATATCTGAGTTTATTATAATAAATTTAGAAGGCCAACAAATTCTATCACTTCTGTAACTGTGACTGACATTTCTATGGCACTTTGCATTTCTCAAAACATTCCTCAATGAATCCTTTCCCCAAGCCCTGCGTTCCTCCATCTCACAGATGAAGATGCCCAACCTGAGAGGTTGACTGGCCTGCCTACAGTCACTCAGCTAGGGAACTGGGCTTGGAAGCCTGGTTTCTCTTTGTTTAGTTGGTTGGGTTTTGTTTGCTTTTGTTTGTATTTCAAGATCTGGTTTCTCTGTGTGGCCCTGGCTGTCCTGGAACTTGTTCTGTAGAGCAGAGATCCACCTACTTCTGCCTCTCAAGAGGCAATTGCACCTGGCTGGAAGCCTGTTTTTTAATTCTGCTACATTGTTCATTCTGCTAGACCAAGAGGACCCTATTCTTCCCAGCCTCTGGCCCACGGGATAGACCACAGATTCGGTCATCAAAGAATGACACTCCATTCCCATGGTGTTTGCAGAGACCCTTGCTTCTTCTCTTTTGCCCTGCCTTCTCTCTATCCACCTGACCTCTCATCACTGACATTCTTTCTTAGCCAGGTAGCGAGCCACACCTAGGGAAAGAAGGAGCCAGAAGGCACAAACTGGACTGTTCTTTTAGTATTATTTTTAAAAGCCACAATAAAAAATATGTTCATATTCTGTTCTAGTTTCATTTCTGTTGCTGTGATAAAATACCCAGACAGAAAGCTCACGT